AGAATGGGGAATGTAGCATTCGATTTCTGTCCAACTCCGCCCTGGAGCTTTGGAGCTTCGGGAGCCCAAGCAAAGATTCGCGTGCCATCACCATGGCAACTACGGATGTTTTGTTACACGCGTTGCAAAATATGGTCAGAACCCTGCACCAGTTGGTAAGTGGCTTAAGTCCACGCAAAGAATGTGAACAGATTGGCTCACTCTCTTCTTTGGGGTGTTACCTACTCAGAGGTTCGTGGCGCATGTCGCCATAAAGCACCAAAGGCATACCCCCTTCTCGAAAGCTGCCTCGCTTGGTCCGCAAGGACTCGGGAAACCAGCGCTAAGGCCGCATGCTTAAACCATACATGCTGACATACAAGTACACATCCCAGGTGGGGTCAAACATCGAAGGCTTCATGGGAAGCCAGCTGCTTTTGGTCCCATGGCCCTGATTCAGATGTTATGCAGGCATCCAGCCAGCGTCGGGTCGGTTTTGGACAATCGAGAATGGCCGGGGGACGAAGAAACTTTGTATCTTGGTTAACGTTGGAAGGGGAGCAAAGATCTATTTTTTAGCAGTTAAGTGGGGATTTCCCACTATATAAACCACAATAAGCAAACATGAAAAATGTTTCACAACAACAACCATGGTATCCCTCTGCGATACCAAGAAACATCTCTCTTAGATACAAACGTCATTTGGAGGTCGAGCTCCCCTGTATTCCTCCATCCGTGAGTCATGGGCGAGCCTGTGAACCCGCTGCTCGCCAGTTCTATGCCATCCAAACGCTGCCTTGTCCTTTCGTCTTCCTGTACGGCTACCTGGACCCTTAACCTGCCCATGAAACTGGATTTCACTCCATATGTCCGGGGCGAAATCCAATTTTTAAGGGAATTTTGAGGGTGCAGGTAAATGCAAACATGCTCACACCGCGACTTCTCAGAACCCTGCAATGCAGCAAGCTGTGATGTGGCGCTCAAGTAGCGCCTTCTCTTGTAGCACCAGCATCCAGCAAGCACTACACAGCTAGCGATTTGGTTGGCCTTTCCAAGAGGTGAGGTTTTAAGGCGACTGGGGTGATTGGGTCTGGCAAAAACATCCTTCTGAACAAACATGGCATGGGCTACCCTCTCACGGACAAACATTTTCAAGAGGGAATTGATCTTCCAGGCACACTTCCACTGCCAAATTAGTGAATGGTGCCCCAACACCAAACACACACACACAAACTCACGCACACATCTAGGTAGTCTCAGCAACGAAAAACAATAATTAAAACGCCTCGGGAATCCTCTGCAGCCAGGCGTCGGGGTTGTCATCTCCATGGGCAAAGGACTCGGTGGCGCCCCGGTATCGAGGCAACTGGCCCGACCTTCGGGAACGAACCAAGTGCCGCGCTCAAACATTCCGATGACTTTGAACGATACGATTCTGCTAACAAGGCACCTGACCCAAAATCCCTTGAAGAGATTCATCTAATGGTGCGCGGAACATCTGGAGAACATCAAGGAACATGCCCCTGGCTCTCATGTTAAGAAGGGGGGCTAGAGCTTTGTCTTCCTGGTACCCTTCCACAAATGCTATGGGAGGAAGGCTATTTGACTAGCCAAACAAATGGGATCCAAAGCACTGCCAAGATTCTGATGTTGTCCAAGACAGGTTCCTTTAAATACACGACGGGCTTGGATGTAGCAGGGAAACAGCCTGCAGGCAGCGGTCCTTGTGTGTACATATATCGCGCTTTGCGGGGTTCAACATGTCACCTTTTGGGCCAATCTTGTTTGCGGGTCCAGGTGAGGTGATGCTACGAGACATAGAATTGGGAACTCTCGGCTCCCTTCAAAGAAGTACATCTGGGAACCTCCGAGGTGGTTACTTGCTAAAGGGAAAGACATGCAACCTATTGCACGACAAGTCCTTCTAATTCTTGAAAAACCTGCAAACATGCAGCACAACTGCGGGTGCTCCTGGTCGTAAACAACTTCCCATCAGCTCCAAAAAACTCCTTCACGCGCCATGGGCTTTGGTTTCCTTTTGGTTTCCCTTTAAAACACTCAAACAGGCTTCCCCCAAAACAAGACGGGGTCGTTTTGTGGGTTGGTCCACTTTTTGGGCTGGTCTTAAACTTAAACCAAAAGCAAACCGCCCGGGGGGTTCCACTCAAAAGCGACGCACTCACAACCACCGAGGAGCTCCATGTAATTCCTGAGGTAGTCTAGCGCAGCTGACTCCCCACCTGCGCACTTCGGCCACAACAACCTTCCTACACTTCGGCCTCCCAACCAAAACCTCCCGAGCAAGGACTCAGCAAACTTGAAAACAAAATATTGAAGCCATGCCGTTCCGTGCATCTTGCAGGTGCTAACTAGTGTGCACACAGTGTGCATGTGGGTGTGTCTTTGTTGAGGCTACCCCGTTTTGTTGGTTTTAAAGGGAACCTAAAAGAAGGACAACCACAAACTTTGGGCGTACCCCCAAAAAGGACACACCCACATCAGATTGACGGCAAACGTTCACGATTCCTCTGGTTGTCCGCTGGTATTCAAGAATCGGAATGCGCACATGACCTTCAACAGAATGAGATGTGTGGGCACCTCATTCTGAGTATCGTGCTGCAATCTCGACACTAATTGCGGGGCAGAGATAGCCTGGTTCTAAATATCAGTCCCCATAAACACGGCAGCCAAATGACAGCGTTAACTTGTTCCCTGCCCTGTCAAGCCAAATGCAATTGCATAGCCAAGCTGCAGTGTCCTTTCAACAACCCCAATCCCCAACCAAATGAGGTTGCTTTTGGAGGTACCCTTTTTCAGGTTGTTTTAGAGGGACACAAAATGAAAACCGCATTCTTTCTTTCTGGGGGTGTGGTCCCCTATTTTAACACACACTCAAATCATCATCCTAATGAAGCAAAAGCTCTGGGTAACATGGAGCCCGAAAGGAAGTCCCTCACAAGGAGATTCCCCGTGAAATAATTTTAGTGAGTCCATGCTTCTCTGACAGGGAGTATTTGTTTGCATGTTTAGCCTTCGTGCCAAGAGGGCCGGTATCAAAGGGTCGCGTTGCACAAGTTTCATGGCATGTTGTTTTTGTGTTGCTTGTGTCCCAAGCATCCACAGCTGCTGACAGCACGTCTGCCTTTGGCGCGTTCCCGCGTCTTCAAATGTCTTGCCCCTTTGCGCACGACAAAGGCCGACGCCTCTGCCACTGCACCGCCCCCGAACCCGAACAATGCTGACCGCTGATGAAGAGCCACCCCAGCGGCTAATCAGGAAAAGAAACGAATCCGCACCAAACAAACCCAGACCCCTTGCAAATAACCAGGGGAGCTATGAATCACTGGTCAACTTCGCATCGGAATCTCCTTTTGTGTGTGTGTTTTTGCTTGCAGCTCCACATAAACATTTATCAACAAACCCCCCCAGACAAAAAACGCAAGTTTTGCGCCTTGCCACCGGAACGTTTGCCGCTCCTCCTCCGGCACCTCCGCACCAAAGGTCTCCTCTGTGCCAAAATGCCCCAGCTGCGTCAGGTAGGCTTGTCTCGAAGGGACCCCCCCCCCCAAAGAAACAAAAAACAACATGGGTTGTCTTCCCTTGCCCTTAAACAACACTAGACCGGGCACCCTCAAAAATCGACACACCCGAACATTCACATGTCGTGAAGATTATATTATATATATATATCCGTATGGAACATCTTCACTCTGAAGCTGGTGGATGGTGCATCTGTGACACTGTACCTGCCCCATGACTACTTTACAGTACTGCGAATGAACAAAGTCCCATGAAGAAAACCCACAGGATCCAAACAATCAACGTGAAAGTGTCGATCCCAAATCAAATGTCCCACAATCCGGGACCCATGAAAGCAATCGTTTCAGGACTTGGGGGCGGTGTCCCTGTAAATCACCGCCTGACTCCAAAAAAAACGTTTTGGGCCATGGTTTATGTGGGGCTCGCCTTTGAAAGGGATCCAAAACGGGCTCCATATCTCTGATAACCCACCACTTGTTGTTTCTCCACGAACTGATCCCAAACAGCTCCAAGTCCAGAAAGTGAGGAAGTTAGTTAAGCCGCCATTTAGACTTGGCCACTCCAAAAAAGGAGACTCTCTTCCATGTCTTGTCTACCCTAAAATATTGCATAGGTATACTTGGCAGACGCCGCAGGTCACTAGGGGGCCAAGAAAGCAAGTTGCCGGTAGCCTAGGTTATACCCCGCTAAAAAGTCCACCGTTCAGTTCACCTTTCTGCTTGTGGGTTACAACCCAGGTGGCTAACCACTTCCTAACTTGGCCGAACATCCAAGTACTCCACTGGACTCTCAGACTACCCAAAAAAAGGATTTCAGCCCACAGTTTCGAGCATTTACCAGGGCACTCGGTTGCTTTCTGCTCCCCCGCTAAAAGTTTAACTTTTAGTGGTTTGATGGCAAACCCATCAGTTGGCCAAAAGTTAAAGTCCTAACATCCAAGCAAACTGCAACAAAGGGCAGGTTGAGGGAGGTTTGCCTTTTTTTCACGGCATTTTTGAGGGTCCAGGGGGGGAGCTCCTCCAAGGACGCGCCCAACTCCGCGGCAACCGCCGGCGGAGGCCGCAGCGGTGGGATGGGCAGCACCTGGCCACGCCCGGAACCAGTGGGACGCGTGCGACAAAACAAGCAAGCAAACAAACAAAGAAATTCATCAAATAAATTAAGTAAATAAGACAAGTTAAGTAAATAAACAAAAAATATAACATAAGTAAAGAACGCAATCAGGAGGTTGTGGACTTGGTCGGCGCCCAGTTAGGATGCACTATTCGGGTTTACGTGTCACAGGATGTCACGAAGTTTGCCCCTCACTCGCGCCTGAAATCTGCACAACTCGAGCCAAAGCCTTGGATTTGACTCAAAAGGATGACAAAACGCCGTGGCAAAGATGGATAATGAACAGAGTGTCAGAACAATCGCCCTTGGTTTGCCTTGGGCGAAAGGACTTTCTCGCCGGAAAGACCTCTCGCCTTCTCGCAGCTGGCAGATGTGGCATGGGCGCATGATTTTACTGAAGGCGGAACGATCTCCTTCGTGATGTTGCAGCTACAATCCTGCTTGTCCCAGTTGACATCTCTGTTGTCATGCTGGACAGCAACCGTGCAAACAATTGATCAGTGCCTTGCTTGTGTCAGCTGCTCCTGAATCTGGCTGCTTCCCCCACCACGCTCGGGGTCGCCCCAAAAAACTCCATGGGCAGTTGCTTGAATGTGGCGCACACCTGTCAGCTGCTCTTGCACCTGGCTGCAATCTCCGTATTCTGTACTGCCCCAAACCGCAGCCGTGCCGCTATCCTTGGCTCCGACAGCAAGCTGCTGCCGCAAGGCACGCCACGGTTTTCACCTGGCCTCCAGCTCCTTGAGCATCCACAGCCAGCCGCTTCCGTGCCCTCTCTGAGGCTCCTCGGCTCCTCCTCCAAGTGCGGGCAACGCCCGCGCCTCCGCATGGCTTCTCTTGCCATTAGACTTAGAGAATGTAGATTTTATTGTTTGCTTCACTTTGAGTCACTGGTAAAATGTAAAAGGTCTCCTAAGTCTAGACAAGTTGCAGCCTTGTGCTGTCCCCACTCAAGCTCCTCGCGCGGAGCTCTATTCTCAGCACGTAGGACTCTGCAAGCTCCTCCTTCACAGATGGGAAAACCGACTGCGCTCGCGGTCCCCAGGCCATGTCAGCAGGCGCGTGGACAATTCAACCTGAAAGTTAAGCACCATCCCGAGCGATCATAACCTCAGCTGCTCGACAACCTGTTGTCTCCGCCATATTCTGCATCGCCCCAAGTCACAATTGTGCCATCATCCTTGATTCGTCCTTGATTGCAGCAGAAGCGGTAGTTGCTTGAATGTAGCGGACACGTCTCAGCTGCTCAACAACCGCGCTGCTGGCTCCACCACACTCTGCCTCACCCCAAGTCACGATTGTGCCATCATCCTTGATGGCTGCAAACGCCTTTTGAACTGCTTGGATCTGCTGGACGCATGTCAACTGCTCCTGAAGCTGGCTGCTGTCTCCACCATGCTTGGCGGCGCCCCAAGTCACAACTGTGCCATCATCCTTGATCGCAGCAAAATCGTCTTCGGTCGCTTGGATCCCGCGGACACACGTCAGCTGCTCTTGCACCTGGCTGCTGTCCTCGCCGCATCCTGAAAAGCCCCAAGCCACCACTGTACCGTCATTCCGAATTGCAGCAAAAGCGCCGCAACTTGCTGCTTTGACCTGCTCAATGCCCGTCAGCTGCTCTTGAACCCGGCTGCTGTCACCACCAAGCTCTCCACGGCTCCATGAACTGCATGCCCATCTCCCACGCCCGCCTCACTCAAGGTCACCCCGGGTCTAGTGGCTGGCCATGTGCAACCAGCCGCGCCCCAACTGCTGCGCTGCAGCCTTCAGCTCGGCGATCGTCGCCCGCAAAGGAAGCGTCACAAAGCAACTGCTGCCGCTTGCAAGGCACACCTCCACCCTCAACATGGTGCCAGCGCAGGGGTGGCTCACAGTGTGCAACCCCTCGCTTTCCCACCCCAAGCAAAAAGCTTCCTGCACAGGATCCGATGCAAAGAAGCTCCCCTGATTTACTCGTCTGGTCCTGTATTACCCTGTAAGAACGGATCGCAGAAAAGGACTGCCCTTTGCCAACGGCCGTCCGGATCTTCTTTCGATCTGCCTTTTTTGAGCATATCGGTCAGGTACAACTGTCCCATGGCGACAGCACATGCACAAGGTTGCCCCAGCTACGTCTCCCTGGGAGCTACCAGGCACTGACTCCCAGGATACGGCAGCCCAAGTTATGAAGTTGAATGACCCCTCAAAACGCGGGGCCTATGCTGTGACTCGCAGTCAACCTGACAAAAACAACTTTCCCCATTTAATTTGAATTTAGGGGCCAAACAAGTCTGCAAGATTCAGGGTCCATCAGTCCATCAAGGCACAAAAGCAACCTGATAGGCAACAAATTCACTCGGCTGGCCGCTCCTCGCGAATGGGCCGCCACTTGGCCGCTTTCTGGAACTCTCCCTTGTAGAGCGGCATCTGCTTCCTGCACCATGAACAGCGGGGAATTGGGGAGCATTTGCTGGTTTTCCACCCCGTGGAGCCAACACAGTCTATCCAAATCGTGGGTTGGTCGGACACTCAAACGGGTTGGCTCAACCCTTGCCATGTTCACAAAGGAAGCCGCTGGAGGAATGCCAAAAGGGCCAAGCTCGAAGCTTAAGGCATGGCTCCAGGGCAGGAAGTGCGAGATTCTGCGAGCTGGTGCTGCCAAAATGCACGTTGACAGTACATGAAGATACACTGGGGTTGTGTGATAAGGCAATGTAGCTGGCCACATGAAGATTCGAGAGTACATGAAGAGACTTGGATGACCTCCAGATGGGTTATGACATATAATTGGCACAAGGGCCTTGCGATTGCGGGCGTGCCGCAAAGAGATGTCTCATATTGCACGACTAGCCCTCCAGTTGCAAGATGTGATGATCGGACAGCCTCGGATCCATTCGGATAGTTTTACTATCGCGCAGCTTCTCCTGACGCACCAAGTGCATCACAAATCACGAGTCGAGCCGCGCCCTTTGCATCGAAATGGGGTTGTCTCCAAATTGGGAAGCCACGGGATGGTTGGCTTCATTTTCGTTTCCCTGTAAACCCGACCAAGAGGGGTTGCCAAGAGAAGAACGCACAAATCAGCTGCCACAACAAAGACCTATAGCTAGGCGGGCTGCTCTCTTTAGCGCAAACTGGGCCCATGGCAACATCGGCCATTACTTCCGAACAGCGAACCAGCCGCTTTTTGAACCTCCTGATGGACCGGTGAGTCAGTTATGGGCAATTGACGTATTTCATCGGCTGGATTCGCACCTCAAAGCTATAGAGCCAAACCTACTCAGAACCATCTCAGCATATTTGCCTCCAAGCTCGGGTGCATGTGGCGCGAGCAGCACGATTCTGAAGTCTGAAGCCATTGGGGCCCGAAACAAAAATAACCAAAACGATAATAAACGGATCCATGTTACCAAGACCCAAAGTAATTTTGGAAGAACCCCTCATGGGGTCCAGGGACCTCTTCCGGTCCAGAGACCCCATCTGGCCAGGCCCGGAAAATGCAGCGAACACCGTGAGCTTCGGGTCCTGTCACTTGCATCGAAGCCCAAGTCATCGATGTGGTGCACCTTGCGACTAGAGGAGCACCGTTGGCTGCAATGACTTGCCCCGGCGGCTGGTGCTGGCCCACTCAACCTGCCAAAGGTGCTAAGCTTTCTTGAGTGACAAACCTAAACCCTGCGCCTGGGCGATTGAACCCAAAATCAATCAAAACCAAAACTGACCCAAACCTTAACCAACCTTAAACGGAGCCCTTGCGAACACTAATTAAAACAATGGTCAATCAACCCAAAAAGACAAAGTCGACCCCTCGCCACCACAGGCACCTCTACCACCAAGCCTGAACACCGCCAAAAGCAGCCCACCCAAATCCCCTTCCCCCCTCCCCCCAAACCCAAACCCAAACCCCCCCCCTCGCCCCCGGGCTCGACCCCTCGTGGCCGCGGTCCTCGGGGCCCACGCTGTCAGGGCGCCCCAGCAGGTCTCCAGCTCCGCGCCGTGCCGCGCCAGCGCCGCGCGCACGGCGGCCTGATCGAGGCGTGGAGAGGCGGAAGGGCGAGACGCGGCCGCTCCGAGAAGGCTTTTCGCCCGGGGAATGCAAAAACCTGGGAACGGAATACTGCGGCAAATGCAAATGGCATACTATGCAATCATCTAATCTGCGATGTTTTTCCTCCGTGAGTGTTTTTGTGTTCAACGACATCGTAAGGAAACTACCCATGTTTAGACCTGTGGATGGGCCAGGCTCCGCTTGCTAGGTGCTTTGTCCCAGTATTTATTGGGTTTCATCCATCCCAACTGTTGACAAGACTGCCCATAGAAGTGGTTGCATATTGAGGACTGTTCTAGAGGGTCATTTTGGTGATGTCACTTCAACTGACTCAACACGACGGTTGCCACTGGGCACCCAAATTCAGGAACAAAGCCCTGCGTGAGTTCGATCATTTTTGCATATCCCTATCTGCGACGGGAGGGTGCAGTCCAATACTGGGTCCATGAAAGTAACATCCTCGAAAGGATTCTCCAAATGATGGTTTGAAGGAAACCAGGCTCCGAAAGTACTTTGAGAACCCTGAACATATTCACTTTGAGGGTCCAGGATCCAGAAAGGGTCCCTAAGCCAAGGCAAACCAACTGCAAACCGACGGCACACCAAATGCCGTTGTTGTGTCTGTTTTTTTGGTCGGGTTTACCCACAATCCCCCTTGAGAGTTCCAAAGGTAATTCAAACGCATCCTCATTGGCCTCACTCCCTGAGTGGCTTGCCCAACAAAGTCTGAAATTCTATTTTACCACCAACATGGCTTTCCCAAAAAAAATAAATTCAAAGGAAGTCAGGAAGTGCGTGGCCTTATATTCCCCTGATTACTGACACTAATATGGTTGACGCGTGCCACTGTGCGACGTTCCTAAAGATCCTCGCGAGGGGCTTAATGCTTTCCCGCAATATCACCAGACAACGATAGAGGACCACACCCAAAACCAAGACCCTGGTGAATAGCAATACTTCAATACCGTGTGTTCCTCATGTGTTGACTGTCTCAAGGTCAGAGAGGAACAAAAACACAACATATGGGTCTGTCACCTTTTTTTAGTGTGCCTACTTGTTTTTCCCCAGATAGCTGAAAGCTATAGAGGTTCTAACTTCCAATAAAGATGGGAAAGTGATTTTGCGAGATTTGATGGGCGTGCAGTTTGGGGTGCTGGTGTGGTGCTTATGGGGTGCTTGGGTCTGCTTTTTGGGGCGCTCTTCAGGGTGACGGTGCGGGCAGATTGACGGCAGGGTGCAGGGGGGCAGTGTGGGGAGCTGTTTGAGGTGCTGTTTACGGCGCGGGCGGTCGCGGGCGCATTTTTGCGATAGTGACGCCCGGGTGCTATCGGGCATGCAGGTGACGGTGCAGGCGCATTTTTGCACCTTAACGGTAGGGTGCAAGGGGGCATGCAGCTTGGGGTGCTGTTGCAGGTGGTGCTTTGGGATGCTGTTTGGGGTGCTGTTTCATTTTCACGAGATTGACGGCTGGATGCTTGGGGGCTGCTGTTTGGGGTGCTCTTCAGGGTGACGGTGCAGGCGCATTTTTGCGAGATTGACAGCAGGGCACAAGGGCGCATGCGGTTTGGCGTGCTGGTGCAGGAAGTGAAACCCACAAGAAGTCCGAAATCTGTTTCTTTGTTTTTGGGGGTGGGGGAGGTGTCCGATTCCTAAAAAAAAACGACTCACCCCGAAATTTATTCGGCCTCTGTCTGCAGCTCTTCATCACAGAACTCGCGGTGCGCGAAGACTTTGGCCACTGCCAGCCGTTCCTCAGGCTGTCAGGGCAGGACTGGCATACACACCTCACATACAAAATGGGACAATGAGGGGGGGTCTCTTAAAATGGGGGGGGGTCCCTTAAAATGGTTGGTTTCGTTTTGGACATACCAAGACCGGAGTCCAAACATGTTGAGAAGCTCCGGGACTGTGGGGCAGCGTCACTTTGGCGAAATGAAAGGCATGGATTGGGTGCGCCTTCTGTTGGGCCTCAAGGAGTTCGACCCAAATGGGCCTCGGCTCAGGGGGTATGGGTGACTTGCCTTACTCCGGCTCATCTGTTGACGTCCAACAAGGGAGTTTCCTACAGGAACCACATACCCAAAGCTAATCACATAGCTGCCATCCCTGTGCTCTCTCCAGCTGGGCCGCACATAGCTCCGAGAAATACTCGGCGGGATCCTGGACGGCCTTCACAACCTCACTGCAGGTGCTGTCCCCAAATATCCACAGGGCTGCTCCCAAAAAACCGAGCCTGTGCGGTCGTTGGGCTCCACGAATCCCTGACGAATCTGGGAGCATCATGCTCGCGTAAATTCTGCCCAGGTTGGTTCAACATTGTCCAGACATGGAAATTAGGTTCATCAATCTAGCAGGTGAACCTCTCGTGATAGAACAGTGGCCTCTGGACGTGCGAAATTGATGCCGCGTTCAAGCAATATTTTGGGAGATTCTAAACGCCTTCTAACAAATGGGTCCTGGGCTAGCTCAGGCTCACCCACACGGACTAGCATTGTCCCCACAAATGACATTGGACATTGGTGAGTGACCCCCCATTTCCTCACAACTCACGGTCATTTAGTGAGTGTGCTGGGTGTACTCCCTCTACGCGTGTCATGATGAAGTATCAATCAACAAAAGTATTCCCCAGGAGGACACACCAACCCAGGGATAAAAAGATCACGCCAACGCCAATAAAGCACCCAAAAGAAGTACAGCAGCACAACACGCACAGAACCGAGCACGTCAACTTCCAAAGCCGGCTGCAGCCTCCGCCAGTCTGTTCAAAATGCCTAGGTGCCAGGTGCTGGTTCCTCTCGGCCAAGCGACCCGCCAAGTCCTGCGGTCAGGGCTGGGGTGACTTCCCTTTGGTTTTCCGCCAAAACAACAAGTGCAAGTACGAGATACTATGGATGGAGGCAATCTTGCACAACCCTAACCAACAAATGACTCTGAACATGTTTGAACTGTTTGGGCCCTTACTGTATTACCAAAATGAAGAGTGTAAGTTTGCCCAGTTCAAAGAAGAACTCCTCTCATTGAACATCATCCAGGGGGGGTTATGGAAAACCATCCAAAAGAAGGATTCTGTAGTGAGGGTAAACCCGACTCCCGAAAATATGGCAGGTTGGTAAATCGATCAAGTGCAGGTGTTCTTCCAATATGATACTATCAGGTTGTTGCCAACTGCCGGCTGTTCCTCAGAAGTCAAGTGGACGGGAAAAAAGGCCACCTGCTTGCCGGTTGAACACAAAGCGGGTTTACCCTCCCGAGACATGGGTTCGCCCTGCTTCACCCCTTCCCTTGCTGGTTGGAACCAGAAAATGCGCGGACAGACCAAATCCTGAACCAGGTAGGTGACATACCCCAGCACTTTTTATGGTTTTCATTCATCCCAACTGCGACAGTGGATTTCGTCGGGTCCATTCTCCAAACCCGGTGGATGGCCCAACAAAAAGATCGAACCTCGTGTGTATGCCACTCAAATGGCAAAGTCCATGAACTCGGGAAGTGGGCCTTACGTTCCCTTGGCTATGCCAAACATTGATCACCCTGGTATGCGACACCGACGGAAAAGCAATGCCAACATCAGCTTATCATCATCCGGGGGGGGAGTTCTCTGATCCAACACTGAGTGACTTGCTGGTGCGTCAGGTGGGGAATGAGAAATGGAGTGAACCCAGGGGTGCACCAGGACACCCCTGCATCTCTCGCCCTGATCGCAAGACAAACATCTAAATCTGAACGAAGGCAGAAAAAAAAGGAAATAAATCTTGGGTGGGGGCTCCTCTGATCTAAGGCCGAGTGAGACCCAGACAATAATATATATATATATATATATAAAGACGCCGCCTCCGTTTTTCTTTCATCCCTGCGCCTCCACCGCCTGGCGCCAGAACTGGGCCCGTCGCGGCGAGCAGCGGGCGATGCGCGCCACCCGGGAGGCGCCCGACAGCAGCGGAAGCTCCACGAGGTGCACGTGCAGAACCTCGCGGGGCATCCAATGAGAAGCATGCGGGGAGCACCCAATTCAACGGGGAAAGGGTGAACAAACCAATTCAACGCCAGCTTTTCCGATAAATATATATATATATATATTTAAGCATGTGGTCCCCAGCTTTTTCCCAAGATCCGGATTCTTTTCTGGAAACAACTTTTCCATCCAATGAGAAAACATGGGGGAGCACCCACTCCAAGGGGAAAAGGGTGAACCAAAAACATGGGGAAAACCCAATCCAAAGGGGAATCAGTGATGCGACAAAACAAAATGCGGGGAGCACTCCACAAGAGGTGCCAAAAAGTTTGCTGAAGAACCAGAGTTGCAAAAGAAATTGGAGGCTCCACTTTCCTCGCAGGAAAATGGGCTGCTGCTGAACTGGAGTTGCCCCCCCAACAAAAAAGGCATCAAGTTCCAGCAACAAATGCATGAGTGTGTCCATGGGCCAAGCCATAGAGATTACATGTCTGGCTCTACTGCTTTGGTTTCCCTGCATGAAAGACCTGTGCCCAGTGACCCTGGGAATCAAGTGGTGAACGCAAGGGGAAACGGTTCCAGAGTTGAACCCCCCCATAAACGGATGGTTAAAACTTGAAGCAGGGCTAAACGGGTTTTCCATGGCACACATTTAGAATGACCTTCAGGGTAAGTGTACGAAGCCAAGCTAACAAAAACACAGGAACGCTCAAATTGAGCGCCCACTGCGGACCAGCATCCCAAAGCAAAAAATACACCTGCCAGAATCCGGCATGGTGCTTTTACTTGGGAGTTCAACCAATCCACTCTTTCCAAGGCGACTTTAGCCTTTTGCCCATGAGAGTTGCTAACCAAAAAAACATAGCACCAATACTATTGACTCACAGTTCATGGCCAAAAAGCACATTTAGCTCTTGTCGATCTACAATTACAATCTGGTGTGGGTTACTCTGTGGATGGACGAACTCCTGCACAACTTTGAAACCATGGGAAACCATTGCTTGTTGGTATTTACAGGGAGATCATCAGAAAACAGGGTAGCTTAGCTGGTGTGAAATGGATTTCGCAACACTCCGTAGTTTTAAGCCCCAGCCATATGTACCGCCAACCCCCCCCCCCCCCCCGCCCCTCCGCGGGGCCGGCTCCGGCTGCGCGTGGGCACGCCACAAGGGCTCGTGGTCCAGCAGGCGCAGGTCCGACCACTTGTGCCAGACCTCTAGATGGGGTAAGCGGGTAATCCCAGCAATGCGGGCCAATCATAGGTGTCCTTTTAGGGGAAATAGATGGCCCTGGTAGATGATTAAACCACCAGGTAAACCAGGGCCATCTATTTTTCTAGCAAAACAACCAAAAAGGACACCTATGGGGCCAATTAAAACCCTGTTTTTCCAGATCCCCAGTGCCCCATCACTGAATTGCCACTGAGAAATGCCAAACCGATTCAATACCAATACATTTATCATTGGGAAGGTCTTTTTGCAGGGAGCAACCTGGTTACCGCCCCTTACCACCCGGATTACTACCCTGGTTGGTACAAATTGCCACATAAATATCGCCAGACCGGACCAACTGGCTAACTGCTGTGAATATGGCGGACGGCAAGGCTCAGAGCCCTGGAAGCTACCGGTATTGCTCTGAGGTCTGTTGCAGTTGCCCGTGGTCTTTTTTAGAGAACCGCTGTACCCATTTGGAGAATTGGACCAAAGCCAAACCAATATTATAACATGACGCCAAGGAATACGTCCAACATCCATCATATTTATCCTCGAAACCACCGGAAACAAAGCTATATTTTAGATTCGCCCTCATTTTGCATACTTCCTTTGTTCATATTGGTGGACTGTGCGGACTGGCAGCCACAAGTGACATGAGATTTAAGCACTGTGAAGTCACAGCACCGCAACTGACTGGACTTTTGCGGTTGGATACCCTCCCTCCAACAATCATGGAAGTTGACAGGAGAGCTTTGGAAGACTATTTTCCTTTTGGGGAACCCCTTTGTGCACTTCCATGATTGTTGGAAAGAGGGTACCGGTTGCTTTACTGAAACCACAAACCACTCATCCAGATCCAAGGAGCCACGTTGACCCGCGACCTTCGGCTCGAAATGCTCTCGCTGCTCTCGCTCGTGACGGCTTTGCCAGCCGAGCCTCTTGCGGGTGGAAACCGGTTGCCATGCATTGGGGTTGTTCCGGGAGGAAACCACAGAGAAACCAAACTTCAATCATTATTTGGACCCCCCAAGCCGATTTGTTGGCTCAACCCATGACCCGGGCAGTGGCTTCGCCGCGTCCCTCATGGTCCTAAATGGTGTGTTTCCTTCCGGTCTTTCAGCCCCATCCCCAAACTAGACCACGGTTGGCCCGAAAGCAGAACATCGCAAGCGAGGTCGGCCCAACGCTGCAGGATGCGTTCTTTTTCCCGACACGAAGCATTCGTGAAGCAAGCGCGAGACAGCACCAGGCAAGGTGCTCTGTGCAAGTTGCTCTGTGCAAGTTGCTCTGCGTAAGTTGCTCTGCGCAAGTTGCTCTGCGCAAGTTGCTCTAGGCAAGGCGCTCTGCGCAAACTGGTCGGTGCAAGTTGGTCTGCGCAAGTTGCTCTGTGCAACTTGCTCTGCGCAAGTTGCTCTGCGCAAGTTGCTTTAAAATGCAAGTTGCATCTTGCGACGCCCGCCCGCGGACCAGGGAGGAATCGAACCCGCGACCCGCCGGTTCCGGGAGCAGGCGCGCGAACCACGAGACAACTCCCGAGGACCAGTTCGAACAACAAAAGTCGCAAAAAACCTCGAGTTTTTGCACCTCGACCACGCCGATCCCCGCAGAGGGTTGCGCGGGCACCGCAGAAATCGCAAAAAACCATGGGTTTTTGCACCTCGACCACGCCGATCCCCGCAGAGGGTCGCGCGAGCACCGCAGAAATCGCAAAAAATCGGTTTTTGCACCTCGACCACGCCGATCCCCGCAGAGGGTCGCGCGAGCACCGCAGAAATCGCAAAAAAACCATGGGTTTTTGCACCTCGACCACGCCGATCCCCGCAGAGGGTCGCGCGGGAACTTTAGAAATCGCAAAAAAACCATGGGTTTTTGCACCTTGACCACGCCGATCCCCGCAGAGGGTCGCGCGGGAACTTTAGAAATCGCAAAAAACCGTGGGTTTTTGCACCTCGACCACGCCGATCCCCGCAGAGGGTCGATTTTCGTGTAGTGTCGTCGGCACTACCCCGCCGCCCTAAGAAGAGATTTTAACTCCTCGCAAGTCAATTGCACTTGACTCCTTGCACTTGCAACTTGCACTTGACTCCTTGCTTGTTTCAAGGAGTCATTGCAAGGAGTCATTGCAAGGAGTCATTGCAAGGAGTCATGGCAAGGAGTCATTGCAAGGAGTCATTGCAAGGAGTCATTGCAAGGAGTCATTGCAAGGAGTCATGAGAGCCATTGCAAGTTGCAAGGAGCCAAGTGCATGGAGTCAAGTGCAAGTCGCAAGTGCACGGAGTTAAGTGCAAGTTGCAAGTGCAAGGAGCCAAGTGCAAGGAGCCAAGTGCATGGAGTCAAGTGCAAGTTGCAAGTGCATGGAGTCAAGTGCAAGTTGCAAGTGCATGGAGTCAAGTGCAAGTTGCAAGTGCAAGGAGTCAAGTGCAAGTTGCAATCCTTGCCATGACTCCTTGCAATGACTCCTTGCAATGACTCCTTGCAATGACTCCTTGCAATGACTCCTTGCAGTGACTCCTTGCAATGACTCCTTGCCATGACTCCTTGCACTTGACTCCTTGCAATGACTCCTTGCAATGACTCCTTGCAATGACTCCTTGCCATGACTCCTTGCCATGACTCCTTGCAATGACTCCTTGCCATGACTCCTGACTTTCATGATGCTGATTCCTTGCAATGACACCTTGTAATGACTCTCATGAGAACAACTCAAGTGAACCCAGCGGAAGAACCCTTCGCCATGCTTTCGGGAAAAAACCTCGATTGATTCTCTGAATGTTTCAATTGAAAAAAAAAGCCGATGCAGAGGCTGCTGTTGCCAAAACACAAGTCGGCCAAGCCTCCATGAACTGTACATGCCTCATAGCTCAGCACCCTAGGGTTCAACCCCCATTAAAAGAATGGCAAGGACCCAATTTGGATGATGACAATCCTGAAGGGCAAAAAATGGTTGCTATATTGAACAAAAAAACATAGTTTTAATGGTGGCCTGCCTGAACCCCAGGGAGCATGTCTTGGGAATACACCACCTGTTCTGGCAGCCGGCATGCTGCATGTGAACAACCAGCTGGCTTCAATGAACAGCATCTGCACCCCCACCCAATCACTCTCCCTGACTTTGAACACCCCTTAAAGACAAATTCAAGCGCCCACCACTCAACCATGTACGCGCAAAAACACCGCCAAAAAAGAAAAGCATGTTTGGCTGCTGTTCGGAGAAAGGGTCGGCATCTTCGATAAAGGCCTATTTTTGTGGAAAGATAACCTTGCTTATCTGAGATGTCCGGATTTGGGTCTGCCTTTGTCCGTTGTGTCCGCCTTTGTCGGGCTGTCCAAGACGCGCAAAACAGGTCGAAAGTGGGGAAACCGCAGTGTTCCCTCGTAAAGACAAACACAACACACAAAGCGCTTCACAGGTCTGGCTCAACTCTGCCAGTCACTCGAGGCCCCTGTCTGGAGACAAGGCTGCATGTGTTCTGTCACTTGCCCCAGAGGGCATCAAGGCGGTTCACCGCGCGGCCTGTTCACTCGTAGCGATAGACACATCCACATCCAACGGCTCCGGATTGCCCTCAAACGGGGCTCCCCTCCGCCTCTGTCGCCGGCTTTCACCCAGCGCCGCACCATGGCCAAAAGCTCGGAGCTCCGGCGCTAAGGGGAGTCTCAGAAAGCTCACAAACCTCACTTGCTGAATCTACCACCCAAAGCTAAAACTCACTGGGTGCCAGATAGTTATGGTTCTCCACTGGCATTATGACTATGGGGAAGTTATCAATTGTGCGCAAAGCACCCAGCTGACAAAGTCGATGTGGGATTATCCCAGCAAGAGCAAGTTGAGATGAATCCGGGGATCCTTGCAAAACCCAGCTGAAACCAAGAAAACTCTCAGAGATCAGACATCTTCTCAGCAGACCCCTGCATTCGTTCGCAAAGTTGCGATATTGGGATTCCAGGAATCCGGGAGGGCCACAGGACCAGGGTCCCGCAGCGAAAATTGATGGGCGAAAATTTCTGGCGGCAAAGCAGCTGTACAAAAGGCCCTGGAGCCGAACGAAAGCGCCGGACTGAAGCGCAAAGAATGACGTGTGCTTCTTACTGGATGGTGGCAAAGGGAAACCAAGTTGGTTGGATTGAAACCATTCTTTTTTGGAAACCAACGTTGGTTTCATCCAGAAACCATTCTTTCTTGGAAATCAAACCAACACAAAACCAACCATCCCAAAAAGGATCCAAGTTTGATTCAAGAGACCTTCGGAACCAGAGCCGCGCGCGTGAAGAATGCTCGTCTTCGGGTCGTAATGATTTTTAATGCTGCAGGTCGCGCCTTCCCTCTAATTGGTGGCGTGGATTGGTGGCTTGAAGCTTCGAAGTCTTTCCATTTACCCTCGGAAAAAAAGAGAGGAAAATACAACAAACAACAAACGGGGTTCACCAATTAAGGAGTACCTGCTTTACACAACCAGAAACCATCCAAAACACAACCAGGAAAGCCAAAGAAGCACGAAGACTTGCTTCAAACAGCATGAACTTGCCACGCGATTGCGTAGCTGATCCTGCAGCCCATCCAAAATCACTGCTAGACAATGGTGTCTGTATCCCTCCAGTCCGTGAAACCATGAAAATCCCTTTGATTCGAATAGCAACAAGCCGAGTTCACATCCAGGTCCTCGAAGCTCAACTGGGTTTCTCTTTGACAGGCAGACTTTACGGGTTAAACTGAAAGCATTGGACGAGCACTTGGGTAACATCGGAACACCGGAACGAAAAGCTGGGACCAACCGGCTCCAAGACCTCCGAGGTTCACACATTGTGACTGAGCAATCCTCCCAAATGGACATAAATGACTATCAGACCCAGGGTGGGTTTAAGTGACTGGACATAAATTTGATGAACATCGGACCCAGGATGAAACAAACTTGAGACCCAGGATGAAAGCCCAACCACGAATTTCAGACCAGCTTACGACCCCTTCGAACTTCGCTTAACCACTTCCCCGTCCTTTTCATTCAGCGCAATCCGCGGGCCTTGGCCGGGGAGACAAAGGGCACCTTGACCAACAGCTCCTGCAGTCGTTGGATCGGCTTGGAGTGAGTGCATTCAAACTTTTCTTCGGTGTTGTGGCAATCAACCTGCAGATTTTTCCCCGCCCCCGGGGCCCCCCCCCAGCCTCAACCTGCAAATGGTTGAATTCTTGAACTTCCAACTAATACTGGCATAGCAAGAACTGGGAACTGAGGGGCTTGATAAGCTGTAGTTGGCAACAAACAGCAAACTGGGGCCTTAGCGGCTGGTTCCTTGGTGGGCTCGGTATTCGGGAGCAAATTTACTACCTGGAAGTATTCCTGTAAGTTATGTCGTTTCATGGATCCGCTAGGTTCGCCACAGTCTGGCCGTCTGGTGATAGCACCTCCGAAGATAGACATGGCCTCACTGGTGGCTTTCCTTTTCAGTGTTACCATTTTCCTACGTATACATTCTTCCCACAATTCCGAAGGAAGCCACTTTGAGAATGGGGCATTTGCCAAGGTGCTCCGCTGTTAACAAGCACAGGACGAAGTGGAGACTCCTGGGACAGGTTTGGCTGAACCTTTACCCAGAACAAGGGATCAGTCTGCAGTCTGAGCCTTTTTTCACAGATTTTTTTGTGTTGAGACACACAAACCGAACTCATCGCATAGCACCGTTCATCTTGAAGTTGAAGGGCGAATACCACCGCGGTCAAGGTTGCTTTGGAAACCTTACCTCAGACCCAAGAAAGGAAACCCCCTTGTTTGCTGAAACCCGGGGTCGCTTGTCCCTCGGGAACAACGCATTGCACTATGTTTTGTACTTGTCATAAGCCCCAAACTGATGTTAGTCGAGCAACTGAAATCTAAAAGCAACAGCTTATACTGAGGCCCCTCATTCCCAAAACCAGCTTCCCTCCACCACCTTGGCCCTTCAAAGATGCGCGATGGCACACCTCGTCGCCCTCCGGAGTCTGCACCTGCTCAGGGTACCACTTCACTCGGGTGAATCTGAAAGGAACCAGTCCAAGATGGTGTCCGCCCCAGAAAACCACCACCCCCGGTTTATTGGGATATATAAAGCGATTGTGGTTGGGGATCGGTGAGATGGCACGGAAGTATGTGTTGAATGCTTGGAAAGACCCCAATCAACGACAACATGAAACAACGGCAGTGCTCCACCTTTTGTCACCACGAGGAGTCACATGAGATAAAAACGGGTTTTGACTTGTTTGAGTTCCCTTTCAGATAATTGGTTTAGGTCTTAGGTAACACGAACCGGACACCACCGCCATTGCTATTGTGACACCTCCGAATTTGGGAAAATCAAAAAACAAATGGTTGGATCTGTGTTGTTCATCTTTGGGAAGGAGGGAATCAAAAGCGGCCCTCGGGAAAAATTGACTCACGGATTTCAGTTTTCTTCGAAACCAACGAGGCCGACTGATTTATTGCCGGTTCCAGTCGGTTGCCCAACAGGATACAGGTGGCAGAAGGGTGTTGCCCAAAGCGCTGGTGGGTCGCCAAACTTGGGTCATTTCGTGCTATCCATGACCGAAGGTGGCACTAGACACACCAGGAAGGTGTTCAAACCAACCCTTTCAGGGGACAAATAGGGAACCGCGTTTGGGTGTGTCAAAATCGGACTGCCCCCCTTAACGGATTTCGGTCTTCCAGTTGGTTTCCCTTTCAGCCATCCTTAGAAAGGGCACTCAACACACAAGGGTGAAAAGTAAGCAACCTTTCAAAACCTCCACTTCCATTTGCCCAAGTCCACTGAACCAAAACAGCACATGTCCAGTAATGACAACTTTAAACCCAACAGAGGAATGACAATATATTCATTTCAGCAAATGGAAGTCCAGAAGGGCGGACACCAACCGCTTTACACTGCGTGCTAGGCGCAAAGTGGGCGTCCTCGAGGCGCTGTTCATAGGGCCGAAAGCATCTCGCGGCACTTCCGGGCACCTCGAAAGGCCAGGCGCCGGCCAAAACGTCAAACGAAATGAAATGCGGCGCGGCGGTACTTAGGAAAACGTGGCTGTGCTTTAAGGAACCTTAAAAAACCCGCCCCAATATGTGCTCTGTTGTTTATCTTTTGTTGGATCAATGTGTTGTTTTTAGCTGGAGAGGATCCTTTTTGATCATAAAATGATGGTAGGTATGTCGCTTGCTTGGAGATGTTCCCCGTACGGGCTGCTTCGAACAGGAACGCTATGGAGGTCCCCCTGTTTCCAGACACACCCACATGGATATAGTTTGTTTGAATCGGAAATGACCTTTCTGTGCACGTTGTTTAGATGGATACTTTTTGTCCAGCAACCCTTTGGGAGGGTCTCCAGCATGCCCACCACGATGAGCCGAACTTCGTTCCAGCGCAAACCAGTCGCTGCAAGCGTGCAACCACCACTGTTCACCAATCAGATAGTATTGCCAAAGCGCTGGGAACCTGCTTGCTACTAGTTTCCTTCATGCGGGGCAGATGAAACATTGGAATTTAGAAGCTTGCTGCTTCTCTCACGGAAAATAAAGCTCACACGCCACTCCCCAGGATGCAAAGGGAAACAACATGAGACTCCTGAGATAAATATGGGAGATTGCCCCAACATTTTGGGGTGATTCCCTTTGGCCAGTTTGAGAGTCCAGAAGCCCAGCTTGTTGGCACCAGGAAGGCTCTTCTGGGAAGCAGAGGTCGCCTTTTCTTCGTCCCTCGGCGAGCTCGGCCGGGCTTTGCCGCGGCCTGACACCCGACTCGGCACCTTCGGTGCACTTGCATCACGTGGCCAAAGGGGACAAAAGGGCTTCATTCAGACAGGATGTTATCGCTACCCCTCTCCGAGATCTCCTGATGTTTAAGTGTTGAATTGGATGTTGTAGGTATAGTGCAGCTCATTGCTGCGTGGCAAATGGTATGGATGTCGGAAAAGTGGACAAGGGTTTGCATCGAGTTCCGTCGCCGGAACCACTTTTACGCTTCGAGAGGTATAATGCTTCCAAAAGGAAAGTCTCCTCATTGACTTGACCTGTCAGGGTAAGCTATGACAGGATTTTGAGTGGATTAGCCTGACAAAGGATGATCCCATTTCTACTGATCATGGTTGTTCTTCATGGTAACCTAAATCCAGTTTTTTGTCGCAACCATGAGACTCCACAGTCACAGAACTGCTGACTTTTGTGTTGCAAGCACCAACCCGCTTGGCCACGTCAATTCATGGCGTCTCATCCGGATCGGCAATCTCCAATATTTGAGAATTATTTTTGTGACAAAATGTCCGGTGGTCAAGACTTCTAATCTGGATCATGGGCTCGGGTCTATTCAGACGAATCTTTAGCATCGCTGCCTAAGTTCCCTATTGAGAGATCCCTGACCATCTGGATAATGCTTTCCCCTAGTTTCCCTTCAAGGCAACCACGACTAATAAACTCAACCGGCAATCCCGCATACTGAGCTCGTGCATTGCTTACCAATTGCCCACCACTGAGTCACTCGACATTGGATGCGAGCTTGCTGATCCTTCCACCATGCCATCTAAAATTTGGCATAGCAGAACGAGGGTCATTAGGCCGTTCGACTCTCTGCACTTGATGCATTGACTAGCGCGATCGGCCGCAAAGCTTGTCAACTTTGTAGGGTTGAACTGGCAGCCAAGCAGTCTCACAGCGGGAAGTTCTTAC